ATCATTTATGCGCGTTGATCATAACGAGCTTTGAATGTAGAAGTAATAACAACTTCAAAAATTTACAAAAATGTGATAATTCTTCCAATAAAGAATCCCATCAATTATCACTCATCGATCATGGGTAATTATTGTTTATAGATTTGCACTAATTTCATTGCATTCACTATATCCTGATCTTTTTTCTACAATGCTTATGATAATTCATTTGTGGCACCTAAAATACCAATCATTCAGAAGGATAAAATCAAAAGATTTAATATCTTCTATCAAAACACCAACTTTAATAGCTTGTTGATCATGTACCCCATATTTTTTGATAATGTCAAAAACTAAAATTACTAAAGCTTAAATTTTCTTCAAGTTAATTAATGTACGAAAATGCAAGCCCCAATGGGTGTCACCAACTCATTGTGAGCTTGTCTCTTAGTTCAAATCTCGACTACTAATCAACTCCCCTTTAGATAAATTAAAAATTATTTTATCATGTTGAATAGCTTTAGGAGTGTCACTTCTTACAAGAAGCTCCAATAATATTGACAATTCCTGAATTGATCTCAAAAAGATGCTTCGCATGCTAACAAATTTTAGTTATAGCTGCTAAGAACTATTGAAGATGATGAGAAAAATAATGAACATAAAATGAATGAGTGTTATCATTTAGTATTAAGGTGTTTAAACCATGAAATGCCCCACGCATATTAGATGCTTCATCATATTATTGACCTCGGATGCTATATATGCTTAATGAGTGTTTGCAAGTATATCTATAATGGCTGCTTTTAAGGAACTACATTCGTTGATATGGCATATTTAATGCCTATAAACCTTTCAATAACTTGCCCTAAATTCTTCACATATCCCACTATAACATCTAGTTGTTCCTTTGTAGAAACATCATGAGATTTATCAATTATGATGTCATAGTAGGAGTCACCAATCTCTTTCATGATTGATATCAAGGTTTATGTAGCTATAGCATAAGAAACTTTTTTTAAGACCTTTGGTGAAGTTAACTTTAAATTTGAGCTTGAATACATAGATGAAATTTTCTTAATTTCATTATTATATTACCAAAGAAATGAAATAGCTCCAAACAATTTTCTCGATTCTCTAATCTAGTGACTCATCATGCTCATGGAATGATAACCATTGACGTAACAGAAATTGAACATAATCCACTACAATAGTCAACATAACCCTATAATTTTTTTTTTCTCTCATTTTTGCTCAATAATAGGAATGGAAGACTTTCTGCTCGTTGTAGTCTAACCAATCAAAATATTCCTTAAACCATTTTGGATTAAATCCACATGCAACATTGCCAAATATTGTTTGAGAAATTGGTGACTTTTTGGTTGATGAGGTCCCTTTAATAGATATGCTTTTCAAAATTTTTCTCTTTCATTTATATCACAACACCAAATTGAAGGTCAAATTTCAGAATCTCTTGGGATATTGTTAATATCAGACTCCAATTATTCTTTCCTCTTTAAATGACGTTCTATTTGGTATATCCTATAAAAAAATTTGTGTTCTCATATTAATATTTAATTATATACAACAAAGTGAGTTAGTCTTTGAGAATGATCAAAGAAATCCTTACATAATTTTGAAATCCTTATATAATATAGAACACAATCTTGCAAACAAATTTATGCATACAAATATGTAGGTGTATATAAATTGAGATTTTGTCTTTGAACAGGAAAATTAAAATAATATCTTCCTACAAGAGGCATACACATGGAGCTTTCCAAATAGCTTCAAATAGCAAAAAAAATTACAAGATAACCAGACTATTTGGAGAACTCACGAAATTAAACAAACAGGTAATAAATATCAAAACAAGATAGACTGAGTAGCTACCTACCATTCCTAAAAGAATCAAGTTCTTGCCAATGAAAAAAAAGGTACTAATAATTCCTCCAACTAAAAGACAACAAGAAAAAGAGGCATTCCCAAAAGGAGACAAAAAAGGAGCACCAAGAAGAAAAAAATAATAAGAAAAATCAGATGTCAATGGAATCTATGAAATAAGACCATATAGAATAATTACCTTCATAAATATTCTGCTGTAGATGACGAAGGTGGAAGGCTGAACCGTCGAAGGCAGCCTATCAGTCGTGCACATGCCAGAGAAGAGAAATGGGTGCGGTTGTGCAGGATAATTTGTGAGCGAGCGAGAGAGAGTGTGTGGGTCGGCTAGGGAAAAATAATTATTTTATGGGAGAAAAATTTACAAAACAGCCCTCACTCAAAGTATTGATTTTTAGGGTGGGGGGGGCAGGCAATTGTCCCCCCCCTCACATCAATAGGGTTCCACCCCTGTAAATATTGTTAATTATTATGCTCTGTTGTTAAGTAAATTATGATTACAGTTATAATTAATGATCAATGAATCAAAGAGAGAAAAAATCATATCAACAATAACAACAAAGTACAAGACTTTATCCATGTTGTGAGGATGGTTATATGAATCCTTTTACTCCATTGTGTTCTATTAAGAGTCAAATTTGCATTTAAATCTAATAAAAAAATATCATTTAAAATAAATTATAATCAAGTGTTTTTAAGTCTACCTCTACCTTTCTTAATATTGATCAAATCTAATGCCTCAACTCTCCTAAGAGAATTTGAGTCGTAATGGGATAAAAGCTTGTTGTCGTTGTTGTTGTGTTATTTAAATTTGAATCATTTCAAATTTCATCAAATTAAATTTTCATGTTAAGCTAAAAATTATGAGTTTTTATTAAGCCTTTGCTGTGAACATCTTTCTTACTGATTTATAAAATTGTTGTAGAAAAATTATTTTTTTTAATTGTTATAGAAAACAAATTTACAGTACATAATTTATTTGAATGAAGTGAAAAATAATGACCAAATAGATTTTATAATTGGAGTTCGAAAAACAAATAAATAAGAAGGCTATTCCAAACAAAACCAAATTCTTTCGATCTTTACTCGATGGGAACCTTATTCATGTCAGTACAGGTCGAAAAAAAAAATTCAAACATTGCCATTTATATGAAATTTTGTGGATAGAAGTTTATCAGATAAAAATAATGATATTAGTTTAGTTCCAAAAAACTGCAATATAAAAATCTTTCAGATGAATTTTATTTATTTATTTTCTTTGAAACCTTCAAATGGGCATTTTGTCGTTATAGTGAGGGCTCAATTTGGAGTATTTTATGACCCTCTCGCTTATACCAACATCATATTTTTCTCGTTGATTATTGTCTGATTTAAGAAGTTGTTTGGGATATTTTTTTATTTAAAAAAAAAATAAAATACTAAAAAAATGCCTAATAGAGTGAAAAAATGTATGGCCAAAGAAAAAAATTATTTTAATGGAATAAATTCAAATTATATAGTATATAATTTATTACTCAACATTCTTAAAAATAATAATTATTATAATAATGAAAGCCACGAGTCATTTAGGTTTGAATTGTGAGGGAAAAAAATTGTGTTTGAATGTTTTGAACTGATTCTTATTAAGATGCCATCAAAAATAAATACGGCATGAAATATACTCTCATATAAGGAGAAAATGTATGACGTGGCAAGCAATGCCTACAAAAATAGCTTCTTCTTTTTTTTGTCATAAATTTCGCTGAAAATGCCTTCATTGCATGTATTGGGAGAATCCATGTTTCATATTCTATCACATTATTATGATATATACAATTTTAATGTCATAATAATGACATTTGTTGGAGTATAATTATGTGTCTTAGGCCCAGTCATGCAAGTGAGCTGATCTGACTTGCAAGTCACTTCAAACTCTACTTGTAAATGAGCTCACAAGTTAAGTTTAATGAATCATAAATTTGAGTTGGATTATGTACTCAAGCTCATATATTATACATGCTCAGGCTCCAACTTAGCCTGGCTCAACGTATAAGTTCATTGAGCTGCTTGATTAATTTAAAATATATTTAAAAATTAATTTTAAATTATCACTGTCTGATATATTTTAATATTTTTAAATTATTTCTATTATTTATTTGTATTTTAAAAATAACAAATTTCACTTCAAAATAAAAAAATTGAGATCAACAATTGAGTCAAGTTCGAGCTTTCCAAATAAGTTCGAGCTTAAATTTTTTTAACGAGTCAAGTTTGAGCTCAATAAATGAGCTCGAGTTGAGCTAGAGCTGAGTTCGAGCTAAATAAAAAATAACTCGATCGGACAAATATTCGACTCGATTCAAATAAATGAGCCTCTCATTTCAGAGGAAAAAAATACTTACCCATAGGCAAAGGGCAGACCCCAACATGAGAATAAATTGATGCATGAAGGTTTTCTTTTTTTTGGATTTTGAATGGTAGATAGCTTAATATTATTTATTTAGTTATGGAGGGTCAAAATTTTCAATAGGCGTAAATCCTCATAGTTATTTGCTTCTCAAAGGTGATACCATTAAAAAACTCTTATTTAAGGATATTGTAAATTTATTATTATTTTTTTAACAAAGGAGAGAAAATGTTCACTTAGGGCAAGGTTTGGAGGTCTACATCTTTCATTAGAGAGGGAGGATACCAAGGAATTATGATGCATGCCAAGGATTAAAGTGTTCGTCAAACTACAAGGAAATGTACTCAGCCTAGTAGTGGGAGACAATATGGGTCGTGGAATCGAGAAATTATTTTGTGCGGATATCAAATAATCCGGAGACCAATCAAAACACACCACATCACTCAGTACACAATAATACCGAGCATCAGTACCAAACAAAAAAATAATGTGCCGCATTCTAATTGATCTTCGGACACCGTTCGAAGTTCGCACGGAATAATTTTTCCTTGGAATCACATGGGAATGATTAAAGTATGAAAGCATCTTATTTAGGAAATTATAAGTTTGGCACAATAACACTAGAGGGTAAGATAGGTCTTAATTTTATACAAGTTAAAGGGGTAATTGAGTGAACTGCCCACAAGGTTAAGAATATAAAGATATGGAGAGACTTATATTATATATAACATCGCAGTGACCATGAAAAATTAAAGAATCTTATTGGATCAACTGATTCAAGGCCTTGCCTTCAGGTATTCTGATTTAAGTAATTTCAATGTCAATGGACTCACAAAGATGCTTCAAACCTCTATACAGAGGTTGTAATACAATACTTTTGAAAGGCTAATCTTTAGGAGTACAGGCTTAATATCTCTCTACTCTTTGAAAGCTTTGTTGATACATGGAAATCTCAACTACTGAACGCACCAGAATTCCATCGAACGGAAAACGCAACACTGCTTGTACATATGCTACTAATCTAACTCCATGATATCCTGAAATGCTAAAACATACACCCAAATCACTAAATGTTGGATGAGATATCTATGCAGCTAATTTCTACTATGATTTCCGGTCAGTATAATCTCTCCATTATTTTTCCTCATCATAGCCACAAACTCGTCATAGTTGATCTTTCCATCCTGAATAATTAAAAATGTTACCGTTAGCATTCAAATTATGCATTCAGCTTAAGGCAAGTTATAGACAATAATTATAGACCGATATCTACACAACGTAAACTGATGAGGGAAATTGATAGAATTTTGCTCTTCCAAAGAGATATTCGTTGCATAGAATGCTTTCAGATCATGATTCTTCCATGAAAGAAATGGTAGATGCAACGGTTCGTATGTATGAAAAAAAAAAAAAAAAAAAAAAAATTCGTATGTATGAAAAAAAAAAAAAAAAAAACAAATCAATGCGTGAATTAAATAATTCAAGAACTTGAACATGCTGCAAACTTTGTTTTAAAAAACAAACTTGTCAATGCACAATGCGATGGAGCAGGTCACTCTGTCTATAGGATAGAGTCATAAGTCCTACATTTTGAATATGATCCTCATTATTGTGAAGAATGGAGTTGATAAGACTTGAATCATATGAGAGATATATGAGAGGCAAATTTGAAATAACTCATTATGGAAGAATTATTTTTAAATCTTATTCTGATGAATGTATATATGACTAATATTTAAAATTGTGCAATATGAGCCTCAGCTCAATTCAAACCAAAAACGCCTCAAGGTGCATGAGTCGAGCTTATCTTAAGAGGCGTAAGCCTCATCTTGGCTGAGGCGCACCTCGCCTCACGACAGTGAGGCATACGCCTCACCAATTTAATTTTTTTTATATTAAAAGTTAAGCCTAATTCCCTAAACTTTTCATCTTCTCCATTTCTTCATTTGCTATTCAATTTCTCCTGCTTCACGTAAGATAGAGTTTTGAGCGGGTTACTTCTCCATTTCTTTATTGTTGTTCAACATCGCTTGCTTCACGTGAGGTAGAGTTTTGAACGCTAGCTTATCCTTTCGACGACATTGTTGTTCAATTTCGCTTCTTCTTGGTTGTTGCTCGAGTTTGTTTGCTTCTTCACCTCACTGTCTAGAAGCATCTCCTTTTACTTGATGCCTCCAAACCCATACCCATTTATTGAGCCTTCATCCTTAATCATAGTATAATTGTGGGCTCCGAAAATTCGGCCGCGGCCTCCCCGATGCTTTTTTGGAGTGTTTTAACGAAGTAAGTTTCGGAATAAATTTTGGGAAGGCAGATTGGGATTGTAGATAAGTCACTACCCAGAGATTTCGCCCTCATTTTGCGAGGAATTTATGATTTGAGTTCTGATTTCCTATAGGCACAAGCCCCTATATTTAATTACCCCTTCCAATAACGAGAGAGAACTTTCAATTAAGGCTAGTCGTCCATCAGATACGTAGAAATACGTGGTATCTGGCATATAGTAGCAGCATGGGCTTGGATATTAGAAGTTTGAAGATTTGATATTTAAAATAGAAATTTTCACCATCTTTTACTTAAAGCGAATGGTGGGGGAATGTATGATGGACCTGATCAAGATCCCATGGTTCCGTCATCCCGGGCCATCGTGGTCCCTGGTCTACTTAGTCAGGGGAGGTAGTCGACCCAAAATAATATAAGGATTCTTGTCGGCAGCCATGGGTTGCTTCATCCAAGGGTTCCTTGTAAACCTGGGGTGAATGTTTGTCTAATGGGACAAATTTGAATCCACCTTAGCTAACAAAAGATTTTATGTCATATCGATTATATCATATTGATTCATATCTCAAAAATTTGATGTCATTAGGGAGCATACGAGCTCTGACCATGACCGTAATTTAGTAGTGCCATTTGGCGACAAATCACCCAGTTCAGAGGGCCTTGATCATAACCGTTTACATGCAGTACCATTTGGCGGCAAAAGGCGGTTAGAGAACATGTGTTAGGTCCTTACCGGCAGGAAGCTATTTGAGAATGAATCCTAGTAATATTCTCGACTAGACATTAACTCTTTATGAGCTGAAGTTGATAATAGAATTTGTCCACCTTGGCAAATTGTTGCGCATATGGGTTTTGCTTTAAGTGTTTGGATGGATAATTTCATTTTTTAAAAATATTTGGATCTTAGGGATTCTTTTAGAGATTTGATGTTTCATGGGCATTAGTGTGGCATTTTGAATGTTTGGAGTATTTGAAATTAACCCCTCCGGTTAAGATCTACGTTCAACACGGCCATCATTGGATTTATTATGAGGAATTGCATTTTAGTGATTGAACCCTGTCGACCCTATTAATTGCCAACATAGGATTGGGTTCAAGTCAGTTGTATGGTTTTTATTGATAAACTTTTCTTTTTATAAACTTTGAAGGCCTAATATGAATGTATAAAATAAGTATCTCAGTCGATACCACGACCATATATTTGTTTAATAGTTCGAACTGTGTCGACTCCTATCTTCCTGCATAGAAGGACCAAACTCAAACATGGATTTATTGTCTGACCCGCGCAGCATCCCTAGACGTCACGTGTGTGCCCATAACATGCTCGCTGGAGCCCATGCGAGTGTATGATTGCATGTGCATTCACTTGTATTTATGTGCATACATATTATAGTATAAGTGTGGGGTATTTTTGAGATATTTGTAAACGCCTTCTGTCTGCTTGTATGAATGTTGTGGATCCGGTGGCCTGGTCCTGTGATCATTTGTTAGTTTCATACAGGTAGACTGTCGTGTACTACTTGTCGCTTTCTGCAAGTAGATCATTGTGCACTAATGAATCTCTTGCTATGTGTTTATCGATGCTTGTATTCATTGTAGTTCTTTCATATTTTCCCACAAACATAATGTTAAACATATAACGGGTCTCTTTCAGTGGCCCGTAGGCACTTACATTTGTTGTAGTCATCTGGCATTTTGTTCATAGATGACATTTTGTGTACACACTGGGTCTCCTGTAAGGGCCCGTGGGTAATTGCATTTGCTGCATGTCGTACATCTTTGCTTGCAAATGATATGTTAAATATATAACGGGTCTTCTTTTGCTACGAGCTTGTGAATGTGCTTGCATTTGTTGTATTCTTTATATATTTTGCTGTAGTTTTTTGGTTTTCACAGTACATCTGCTATTGCTGCAAGTGTCATATAGTCTGTACATTTATATTTGTAGAGAATCTGTATGCATTGCAGAGCTTCTATCCTTGATGGCATGCATATCAGTGTGCTTATTTGTATCTTGATGTTGATTGCTGGAGTGTTATAAAATAGTTCCATCTGTCAAATGCCCTTCACACTTGCTCATGAACATAATGTATCATTGGTCACATGATGCTTATGTTTGCAAGCTTTTGTTATATTTGGAGGTGATTTATAGTATGCATGATGGCATGATGAAACAGTGGCATTGCCTACTGACATTTGCATTCTAATTGACTTGAAGATCTCCAAAATTTTCTGGGAACTCTATGTTATTGATTGGTTGTAAGCACGTGATCATCCCTTCAATTTGTTCTCTACTTGTAAGAAGGTTACTGTGTTCGTTGCATGATAAATTCTTTTGTTTGAAGGGGATAGATGCATCTTGATTAGCATGAAGTTGCTCAATATTTATTGAAAGCTTCATACTTTTGATTGTAGGCACTTGATTGGAATGTCACTTGTTATTATTCATGGAAGGATTATGAATTGACAAGCACTGATCATGAGCAGGTTGTGGTGTATATGATCATTCCTTCACTTTCGTTTGTGAATGAAGCATTGTGTATGTCATGAATCTTCTATCACCACAAGTATTTCTATTTATTTCAACTCCTCTAATGTTGCTTGCTAATACACTGCATTCCTCACAATGTTGCTTATGAGTAATGTACAGAAGCTTCAATCATCATAAGTCATTATTTGTAATTGCTCATTTATATTCGTTTGTGATCATTTAAATACTTCTAAGTTGATTGGATTTCACTGCCTGATACACAGGTGCACTGACGATCTATCTTTCATGAGTTCCTTTCTTGTTCATTTGCATTTGACCTTTCTCTTTGATGTATCTTCTTGGAGTTGAATTGTTGTTGGTGGTAGGGATGTAGAAGCTTTCCTTAACCTATTAGGATTCATTGAGCAGGATTTGCTTATTGAGCATCTAGATTTTGATTGCTGGTTCATTAGACCAAAGTTTGGTTCCATGTGCTTCATTCAAATTCATGTTCTTTAGAATTTGTTTGAGTTCTTTGAGTCGTTACTCAAATTAAATTCTCATTGATTTGAGTACATTAAACTACTAATTAGCATTTATATTTTCAAACTCCTAATGTATTTTAGAGTTCTAAGGTCTGATTCTCTGTAAGTGTTCAAGTTCAAGTTCATGCTTGTTGTAGCATTTGAGTCCATGTCTTCGTTGTCCAAAACAAATTTGAATCAAGTCTTTTATTTAATCATTCAAAGTTGCATTTAGTCCATTTAGTTGTTCAAATGAAGTCAAAAGTCCCCTGTAATTGTCCAAGTCCTGTGCATTTTTAGATGGAATTTTTGCAAACTCCCGACATCTCCCCAATTTAGGGGAAATTACAGGAAGATAGGTCATCTCACCATGCTACAAGAGCATATATTGTTGGTGTCATATGACACCATGGCCGTACATCTTCAGTACCACCAAGCTACGAGAGCGTGTAAGGGGGCTTCAAAGTACCTATTTAAAAACACAAGTGACTTTCCCTGCCACGTTACAAGAGCGTGCACAGGTACTTAGTATAGAGGGGTTTCCGGCTTGACACAAATGCCAAAAACGAGGATTTTGAATTTAGAACTTATACCTGCGCAACGAGGGATTGGCGGTAATGCTGACGAAAAAAAAATACACAAGAATTTATCTTTCTTTTTTTTTTTTTTTTTTTTTTTTGAAAATTTTGTTTTCTACTTCTTTTCTTTTTTTTTTTCCTTTTTTTTTCTTTTGGAGCCTCTTTTTTATTTTCCACACACACACACACACACACACACACACATATATATATATATATATATATATAATAATTTAATACTATTATTAACATTAGTAATTAACAGATAATAACAATGACTAGCAATGATAAAGATAATAGAATAATAGTAATAATAATACTAATAATAATTA